CGGTCTAGGTCACAGAGCTGGTGCTCAGTGAGGGTAAGTTTCTAGTGGCTTCTGGGACTCGAACTCTGACCCTGGATGCTGCAGAGCAGGCTGAGCCTGAGGCAGCAGGCGCCAGGTGCAGACAATTGCCCTGCAGAGGCCTCCCGCAGGAGGAGCTCAGGGCCCCTGTCTCCTGGTGCCTGTGTGTGGGTGACGTCCTGCTCCAGTGTTCCCAACGGGGTGGCCCCGTCTCCCTCTCTCCTTTGCCTGAGCCGGACCCTCCACCTCAGTCTGCAAAGATGAACCATCAGCCTTACTGGAACCAAGTGGCACAGTGGGGGTGATGGGAAGCCCGGGTTCCAACCTTCTTCTGGCCAGTTTGGCCACCTTAGCACACACAAACACAGACATGCACACATATACGTGTACACACACACATGCACACACAGCAAAATATACATATGATGATGTTTCGCTGTGCTCTTCCGTTGACGTGCCCGAGTTTTCCTGCATATGACAGAGATGTCAGCAGGAGGTGGCCGAGGGTGCGTGACACTCCCCACTGACAGTGTGTGGCTGCCCGTCTCTGATCAGGAGAGGGAAGGAAATCCCCCCGCCGAGCCGGGATGAAGGGCCAACACTTCCTCCTGCGCTGCCCAGGCTGAGGTCGAAGGGGCTGGAACCTCCCGGTGAGCGACGGGGAGAGGCCTCAGGTCAGACCAACAGGTTTTCGCCTCCGGGTCGCACCACCTCCCCAGCGCAAACATCTGTACGCGCCGCGTGACTCGTGGATTTCCAGAAACACGCCTGTCAGCAATCCTGTTGACCAAACTATTGTCAGATAAGCACCGAGCAGTCACCCAGGAAACCACGTCCCTCTTCACCCCCTCCCATGATAATTTAAATGACATCAGCCTGTGGCTCTGGAAGGTTCCCCGTGCCCTTGGGGGTGGGGGGTGGGGCGACTGACTTATTGTGCGTCCCTCTCGTGCCAGGCCCTGGGCTGGTGCTGGGGCCACAGGGTGTAACTGGGAGGATGCTTGTTCTTCAGCAAGAACCGGGATGACTCGCGGGCGGTGATGCTGCCCAAGTTAGAACCGGGAATGTCTGGAAGACGGAGGAACGGACTTGGAGAGTTGGGGGTGTGCAGAGGACGGCCGGGTGGAGACATGCAGCAGCCAGCAGAGAGGGCGGACCTTGGAAAAGGCCTGGTGTTGCCCAGAGAAGCCGGCCAGGGCCATGGGAGTGGGTGGCGTTGGGAGGAAAGGGGGGAGGGAGGCTCGGCACTGGGCTGAACAGAGGGTCGGGGCCTCCAAACACTGCGCTGGCCCAAAGCGGGGCCAGTAACTTTCCCACGTGGAGGCTTTGGCCAGAGACGGGCGGCTTGATCCACACGCAGCCACTGGAACCCGCGAGTCTGGGCTGACCGGCGTGGAGGTGGGAAACAGAGTGGTTGTCATGGAAACCGACTCGCTGTGTTCTTTTGCTGGTGACATCCAGTCGGGGAGGCAGCTGGGCCGTGCCGGGCCCCTCCTCCTGCTCAGGTCGGGGCTGCAATTTAGTTAAACACTTGGGTGCTGGTGCCCGGACGACACCAGGGACAGCACCGGGCAGAGCAGTGCTGGCTTCCCCGCCACGCCGGGCTGCTGAGAAAGGCTTGCGGCTGCCGGGCTTCTGCCCGGGCTCCGCGGCCGCGCGTCTCAGCCTACGGGGGCAGTTCTGCGGTGGCACCATCGCGTTTCCTGTGCGCGGTGACCGCTTGGCAGCTCTGCCCTGTGGCAGTGGCTTCAGGTACAAGGTCCCGTCCTTGTACCTGTTGGGCCAGGTGGGTTTGCAGCTTTCACGCGTACTCTTCGTGGGTGACTGATGGGGGGTGAAGTCGCCCCAGTTTGGAAGCGACCCAGACGTCTACCAGCGATGAGTGGATGGGCACACGTGGCCGTCCGTGCGGCGGAGCGCGCCGTCGGCTGTTGCAAGGAGGGAAGTGCTGATACGTGCACCACGGGGAGCGACCTTGGACCAAGACGCCGAGTGAAAGAGCCCATCACGAAGGCCGCGCGTGCTGACAGCATGTCTGTGCAGTGTCCCGAATGGCAAGTCCACGGCCACAGAGAGTGGATTAGCGGTTGCCAGGGGCTGCGGAGGAGGGTGGGGAATGGGGAGTGACTGCTGATGGGGACACGGTTCTTTTCGGGGTGACGTAAATGTTCTGGAATTAGGTGGGGGTGATGGTTGTGCAACATGTGAGTGTGATGAAAACCACTGACACGTATACTTTAAAATGGTTAAAAGGGTGAATTTTATGACTTTTATCTCAATAAAGGGAAAAAGCGGGAAGGACAAAGAGATTCAGCCCGTTTTACAGATGAGGCAGCCGAGGCCCAGGCTTGGGAATTAAGGCAGAGGCCTGGGAGGGCAGGTGAAGCTCTTGCCTGAGTGGTCTCCTGGGGACTCCTGTCCTCGTGTCCAGCTGGTCACGAGGCCCTTGCAGTGCCTCGGAGACCATCCGTTCTTCTGTCCCCACTGCTTTGTCACCCACTGACCCCCAGGCTCAGGTCCCCCCCCGGGGGGCCTCCCAGATTGCCATGGCCGGGTGGGGGCAGCTCCCCAGGGGAGGGGGCTGGGTGCGCACGCCCAAGATGTCTGGCCCTCGGCTCGGTCGCGGGTTCCCTTGGCCACCTCACGTGACTCCTGAGCTTACGTCTCACCTGTCAGGTGGTGATTTGGGTGTTGACAGTGGTGACGGTGACACCCCTACCTCCCCTACCCCGCAGCATCTTACGAAGACCACACGCACTGATGAACCAGAAATGCGTTTCGAGAATTGGAAAGTGCTGCGCTGGCACGAGGGCTGGTTGTGATATTCGCTTTGAGAAATAAATGCTGTGGAGTCCCCTGACCCGGCTGGCAGAGTTCGAATCACACGTCCCTGTTCTGCTGAGAACTGTGTGTGTGTTCCCCACTCCCGGGACGGATCGAGCCCCCGTGGACAGAGCAGCTTGGTGCTGCTGGTGACTGCCGGGTGTCGGGACAATACCTGGGACGAGAGCGGAGAATAACCGTCCGCTCAACGCCCGCGTCTCCTTTAGACAGACGGTGCGTGGCCTTGGTGTCAGCTTGTCTGCTTTGTGTGGGGTTCGGCTTGGAGGCACTTAGATTCTAGGAAGAAAGGCACCTTGATTTTTTAGTTTTTTTAAAACTCAAAGTGGGGTCCTTTGCCCTGGATCAGCATCACCTGGGAGCTTCTTAGAGGTGCAGACCCCGGGGCTCCCCCAGACCTGCTGCGTCAGACTCTGCATTTGGGAGGACGCCCTGTGGTTCAAGTCCCGCCCGTGTTTAAGAAGCAGACGTATCACTCACTGGGTGGCATCTTTGGGTACCCGAGAAGCCCCAAAGCCAGCAACTCAGAGCCCTGTGAGCACACAGGAGTTCATCACGGTGGCTACCACAGACGGATGACTCCAAACCAATCACGTCCCTGTGGGCCCGTGAGCCCAGTTAGGAAGTGTAATGAGACCTCATTGAAAATGGAAAGTAGAATATGAAGTTCTTAGGAGTGAAGCCGAGTGAAGCTACACAATTTCTTCCTTGAAGCTCAGAACTTTGGTGGGAAACCCGAGATGGGTCCAGATTAAATAGGGACACAAACTGTGTCTAGACCAGAGTTCTCAGCCGGGGGTGTTCTGGTCCCCCGGGGGACATCTGGCAATGCCCGGAGGCGTTTTTGGTTGTCACAACTGGGCGGCGGTCTTGGCATCGAGTGAGGGCGAGAGATGCCGCTCAACACCCTACGAAGCACGGGGTGGTCCCCGGCACCGAGGATGGGCCGGCCCCAAATGTCCACAGTGCTGGTGTGCGCAGGCTCGGCCTGTCCCTGGGGGGTGCTCGCACACACGTCCCTTTAAAAGCTCAGGAACATCAAACGCCATTTTGCTGACGCGGAGCAGTGGGGGATGGGGGAGCTGAGCGTAGTGGGTTGCGAGAGAGACCGTAAAGTGGCGATCATCAAAACAGCGTGGCTCTGAAACAAAGCTTTACGCAGGTCAGTGGACAAAGTAGCCCCCAAAGTCATTTTAGTAAAAGCGACTATATAACAAGCATGACACGCCCAGCGAAAAACATTCAGGATTCGTCCCTGGCCTCCCCGCCATAAGCTAAGCGTCCCCGCTGGGCCCAGAGCCGCATCCCAGGCCAGAATAAGGGCCACCTTCTCCTTGTTTCCGCCTCTGCCCCAGCCCTTCCCCAGCTTGGTTCCGGACCCGCCGCGGCGTGGCTTTCCCATTCCAATTAGGATCTCAAGGGTTGAGGATAGGAAGAGTTGACGGATTTCTGTCCCTAACTGGGATCCACAGTTTGAGGCTTGGCGGTGTGAGGGTGGTGGGCGTCGCAGCCAGAGGCCTGGATTTAAACCCCAGCCTGACCTCGAGCCGTCCACGCGACCTCGGGG